AGTGAGCAGGAGAGGAAGAGATGAGTCTGGTGAAGAAGTGCTTCAAGGCTCTACAGGGAATAACAACTTGACAATGAGATGTCTATAAAAACAAGGTTCGGTGGGCATTTTGTGGCCAGAATGTCTTGTCAGATTAAAGCACAGCTTCCACAGAGCTGTGCCAGAACCTAAACACTATTCCCTGTGTTCTTGGGACACTCATGTGAAGCAGCCAAAGGCCAAGCCAGGTCCTTCTGCTTCAAAAGAGATAGAGATCAAGGGCAAATCATCAGGCATAAGGAGGAGAGAGGAAACAAGAGTGTGATTTGCCTTGTGAACATCTCCTGCTTTGCTCCTCTCATGGCAATCTCCTGGCTCTCCACAAGGGGTCACACTGGAGTGACTGTCATAGTCCAGTAGCCTCAACACCTAGTAATTGTGCCAGCACTAGGCCTAATTTTCTGACTCCTAATAAGGCTTTGCTTAGAAATGTTTCTGACAAGATTACTCAAATGACTAGACTATTTTTGAGGGAAATATAATTTTCTATTTGAGTTTAGTATTCTAGCAAAAAATTGTATTTCCATAGAAACACTTGTCCTGTGTTCTGGACACCACTTCAGTTCCTCTGATTCTAGCTTTGCATTGCTTGTGTGCCTTTTGAAATACTTTTGTAAGTTGTACATCACTGAAAGACATGCGCAGCGTTTTGAAAAACAGAGGTTCAGTGCTCCACCCTCTCTTGCTGTAATAAAGCCAGTTTTACCTCCATTTATATATTCATTTCAATATTCCTTGTCAATCTTCATATGTCCCTTCTTTGTATTCTCTTTTAAGCTAGTTTTAACATCTGTTTTTTTTTTCTTATGAGCTGCATAGAATCTTTATTTTAAAGTCTGAATCTGAAAGCTAAATATACCACACAAACCTGCTTACTCCTTAGTATCCTCCGACAATACTAAGGGGAATCCATGGCTGCAAATGTTCATGTCCAAAATTTGGGATTCACTCTTAATATTTCCTCTGCCTCATCTCCATAATCAATCGTCTCAGTCATTCTGCTTCCACTTCCTAATATTCCTCCAACAATCCACTCTGACTATATCAGTTCAAGTCATTATGACTGCTACTTTGGCAACTACAGCAGCCCACTTACTGGGCTCCCTATTTTACCCTCACTACTAGCCAATCATTTTCCAGAGTCATTAGTTTCCAAAACCAAGTCTGATCATGACAGTGTGTTACTTAAAACTTACCAGTACCTTCCCATTGCCTCAGGGGTAAAGCTTGAAATGCTGGGACGCTTTTTTCTGCTTTTCCTCTGTCTACCTTTTCCTCCTCATGTACTAGTTTTCTATATCAACCTATGTTCTGGAAATCTTTGCTTCATCTTTCAGACTTGGTTAGATTCTCTCAATATCCCCTCACGCTGGCTGCTTAACTTTTACTTTGTGGGATTTATTTTAAATAAAATAAATATATGACTGATTATCCGTTTCATGTCTGTCTATTCTAAGATGACAGGGGCCTGTCCACCTTATACCACTTTATCCTCAGCATGGAGTCTGAAACACAGAGCATACTCAATAAATACTCATTGCATCCAAGAATGAAGCCATACAAATATAACCTCAAATCTTGTCTCTTCTGGTAGGCTATGATCACAATTTCCCTCTTTAGTAAGATAAAGAGATTATTATCAGGGATATTATGGAAATGAAATTCTATGATGTCTGTCACAGTGCCTAGCACAAAGCAAATGTTCATGGAATAATCATTATTACTACCAACATTACAACTAGAATGGAAGCAAGAAGTGCACTGTGAGGTCCAGACAGGCCAAATGACAGGCTACAGGGATATCCCAGAGCAGAATAACCTTGGTGTCCTCAACTGGGCTTCACAACAACATATCCTCCAAGGTCCAGTGACTTGACCAAGTCCCTGCTGAGATTAGAGTAAACTCAGGGAGTTTCAATATGACCAAACTCACCCAATACTAAAGCTCACAGATACAGTGTTGATTAATCATTGACTATGAGATAACATTCCAATAATGTATGATCCATTTATATAAAATATTCACAATGAGCAAATCCATAGAAACAGAGAAGTGGTTGCCAGGACCTAGGAGCAGGGAAAATGAGGAAATGGGGAGTAACTGCTAATGGGTAGCAGATTTCTTTTCAGTGTAATGAAAAGGTTCTACAATTAGCTAGTGGTGATGATGGCACAAATGTGATTATACTAAAAGGTACTGAACTATATATTTTAAGTGTTGAAATGTATATTATATAATTACATAACAATTTTTTTAAAAAACAACTCTCCAGTGACTGCACAGCTGTTTCCAACTTCTCTTCCCTCATGCCAAATTCTACTAAGGCCAAATTCATCCATGTTTGCTCAGTAAGCACAGATTCAGAGCATACAGGATTACAGAGTCTCAGTAAACTACATATTTAACAAGGCCCAAGGTAACTCTGATAATCATCAGGGAAGTTTGAGGGTATTGGTCTAAGCCACTGATGGCCATTGCTATGCCTGACTTTCCAAGGAACCCCTGAAGCTAGGTGATTATGATTTTTCCAGAGATTCAAAGTAAAGTGTATTAGGGAGATTTCTGGAAAGTTATACTGAGTAATAAAAGGAGAAAAACATCTTCCCCTTCATCTTCAGTCTTTATTCCTGCTTTGAATACAGCTATAATGTTGGGACTGAAGTGGCAATCCAAGAAAAAGACCAGTAGATTTTTAGGTACATCAGCGCTGTCACTGTTGAAACAGTGCCAGCAATTGCCTACTTCCAGTTTCTTGTTAAATGAATGAAAGAAACCTTATGTTGTTTTCCCTTGTCATCAGGAGTTTGTCCCGTACATCAAATACATTCCTAACTATATGACAGATCCTCACAACATATGCCTCTGTGACACTCTCTAGTCAAGGGGTAGAAAAACTTTTAGAGCTTTCAATTGTACAAACAGCCCACTGTGGCACACATGCCATAGGTTTACCACCACTGCCCTATTCCATGTTCCATTTACAAGGACTTTATCCCCATAGGCGAGTGATTTCTTCCTCAGATACATTAAGGCATTAACTGGGTATGGACAAAACCTGCATAAATGGCTGCCATCTTTCTAACAGAATCATCCTCACTTTCTTTTTTCGTGTCTGTCTATCATTTAACTCACAAGATATATTTTTCTAAGTCCTTGAGGGATATCTAACAGGTATTCATTTTGAGACTATCATTTTCCAAGATAGCATTTATCTTCCTGAATGGAATTCTGTCTGAGAAACTATAACAAGAGTTGGCAAACGCTTGTAAGTATAAGGGGTGAAAGAGTAAATGTTTTAGGCTTTGTGACCCTTACATTATCTGCTGCAACCCTGCCATTGTGGCCCGCCCACAGCCAGTCACATGCAATATATGAATGAAACAGTATTGTGTTCCAATACAATTTTATTTACAGAAAATAGTCCCCAGATTAGGCCCAGAAGGCATTCTTCACTATTAAAAACTTGAGAAAATTGGATCTAGTTATAAAAATCAAATAGGCTATCACATCCTCTGCTTTATCGTTGTGTCTCTGCCACTTGGAAAAACAATAAACTGGGAAATATGTATAAACTGGGACCAGAGCAGACTTATCTTAGCCAATACCCATTTCTGTTATAAGTCCTTAGAGAATAAAGGTGTCACAGCATTTATTATGTACTGTCTACCAGAGGTTGTAAGAGGCACTTTCATATAAATGTTAACCTACCAAGGTTCAAGAACTCTGCTTAAAACTCTAACTAATATGTTAAGAATCATAGGTAACCTGGATAAGGGAGATAATTCAGATATGCAAGTATCATGGGATCGTATCATGATTTAAGACATTTTACCATCCAGTCTGAAATACAGATAGAGAAAGATAAAATTCATGGCATGAAACAAATAAAGAGTATTTTTAAAATTCTGATTTTAATGTTTTCCTAAATACATACTTTTTCAACTTAAGCCTTTTAAATTACTTTGTAGGGTGAGTAAAACTTACCAGAGTGCCTGGTTTTCACTTACATATAGTATTAATATTTGGGAGTAATTTCCCTTTTATAGCTAAAATCTTTTCATTTATGTCCAATGCAAAAAGAAGCTTTGGAGAAAAAGGAATTAACCAAACTCTGCTCTCAATTTACAGTGTAAGACATCTCAAAGGATAGAAAGTTGTGTTTCCTTAAAAGTAAACTTACAACTAAAACTTCAAGTAGACAGAACAGTGGTCTTGATTCCGTCATTCACTGCAAAGCTCTTCCAATTAGCTGTCTCAGCTAGCAGTACTACTGAAAGACAGGTGAAATCCCAAGAGGACCAGCTTCTGGTAGCTGTAGTTTCAGCCTTTGGCAAACGATCTGTTCTAAAAATGGTCACGGTGGAGTATTTGGTCCTACTTAAACTTCCACAAATCTGTATCCCCAACCAGAGTTAGAATTTACCTCGCTCACATTTCCTTGAACCACAGAAGGACTTTATTACTACTTCAACAAAGAAAAAGCAGAAGAAATGATGATCCATGACTCCCAAGGCTGTATCACAAAAGTCCATAGGCCTTTCACCTGGCATTCTCTTGCTCTGAAGACACCATTGGAAGCAGCCACGATGCTGCAAGGAAGCCCAAACTACTCCACATAGAGAGTAAATGGAGAACTGAGATTCCCCCAAAACAGCCAGCATCAAGACATCAGAGCAATGAGATATGTATGTCACTGGGCCTTCATGTATTCTAGCCTTCCATCTTTGATCCACTTCAGCAGATCGACAGTGAAATGTAGGTGAGCTTTCCCAATTGGGCCCTACACAAAATGCAGATTGATAAGCAACATGAATGTTACCATTTTAACTCAGTCAAATTTGAGCTTAATAACTGGAACACTGACCTCGAATGGGATGAATTTCACTTGAAACAAAATAAACTGTATGTTTTGCTTCCTGATTTAAGGCTCCAATGCAAACAAAAATAAAAATATACATACCTCTTCCAAGAGTGACCTGCTCCTGCAAGACACTTATATACAGCTGCAGGGTCAGTTGGGGGGCTGAGCCCAAGAAAGCCTGGATCACCGATGCCCGGCTGAATGCAGAGCGGTGGGTGAATAATTTGCCTTCTGCCTGGCCTACTTCCTTCTCAATCTCCTCTGAGAGGCCATCTTTTGGTATCTGCCGCTTCTTAGTGATGCTGACATAAGGTTCTTCATTGTGGTTTGACTGACAGTAGATGCAGAAGGCTTCAAAACACCTGAAAAAATCAGCAAGTTATAATTATTAGAGGTAGGAAGGAGTCTGTCTTTTCTCAGTCACCTTGCTTCTACTTAGCTGATTCTCAAAGCTTTGTCTTGGCTATGCTGGACTGGAGTCACCCCTTTATCCAATGATGAGTTCTAAGCTCTTGGTCTTCCTTACACCTTCCAACATGTCAATGAGACCTGAGTGAGAATCAAACTGAGTTGATACCAAAGGCCACTGAGGCAAGAAAACCTAGGGAATGGAAAGCAATTCAGGATCTAGATCCACAGGAAAAAGTTTAATTTGCCCATCCTGACACAAATCAGCTGTGTAGGCCTGGACAAGTCACTCATTGAGTGCTTTCCCTCAATTATAAAGCAGAGAAGATAGCTACTTGGTCACATTTCTGTGAAAGATGGCAATACATCAATACAATCCATATTTTACAACCCTAGTTAAAGCAGGAAGTACGGTTGGGTGATTGTCCAGAACAGGGCAGACTGTCATCTGGCACTTCAAGACCATAACATATTACCTACTTTTTTGCCTCGTAAACTCTTACAGAGCAGAGCTAAAGTCAGTCATACCCAGCAACCTGCCAGATATATTTTATTTATGGATTTCTAAGCTTACTCTAGGTTCAGAGCCTTAACCTTCATAACAGCGAATACCTGGCTTCTATATTAGGATTCCCTCTCTAGTTACCTAGAGATATGGATAAAGATGCCAAGAGGTGAAGGGTACTGATGCCTGTGACTTACTTAGAAATATCCAAGCACGCACACACAGACTGACGGATGGATAGATGTGTGAAGCTAAATGTCAATTGTACAATATCAATATAGGGTACTTGGATGTTCACTACAGAACTCTTTCAACTTTTGTAAGTATGAAAATTTTCATAATAAAAGGCTGGGGAAAAAACAAGTTTTCCCTGGATATAAGAAAAATACTTATAACTTAAATTTCATAGTTGTCGAAGAATTTTTTCTCTGAAACAAGAGCTTTCAAAACAGCCTTATAATGCTGCTAAAAGGTTTATGGTTTCATACACGATACTTTATTGAATGTTGTTAACTTTATACTCTCACATTGAGGTAACTATTGCAATGAAATTACATTTATTTCAGTATATGTGCTGCCGAAGGGAGCACAAAATTACATTTATAACTCAAAATAATAAAACAAAGCCACTGATACAAGAATAGAAACAAGAAAATCTTTTTGGCAAGTACAAAGGAGACATATTTGTGATTATTACCTTTGTTAATTTGCTCCTCGGAGAAAGAAATCATGCAGTAGTGTGTGCACAAGCACGTGCATGTGTGCTTGTATGTGAGAAAGACACAGAGAGAGAGACAGAGAGAGAGAGAGAGAGAGAGGGAGGGAGAGAGACACACACACACAGGGATGCTTGTCTCAGTGGTATCAGGAACACTTTAATACACAGTATTACATGAAAAGATGTAAAACAATATGGACCAGTTTGTTCAGCTGAAAATAATACTAATCAAGTTCAGGTCAGAGTTGAAGCCCCCTTTGTCAAAAACTCAAAGGTGTGACTGAGGGCTAGATAATAAACAGATTACTGCCTTTATTCTCAAATATGTGATTAATACCAATGCATTTCAAACCAAGGGCTTTGAGGAATGTAAGGATATTTTAGTTTATAAAATATTTTCTCATATATTATCTTAGAAAGTCCACTGTAAGAATCTGGATAACATTATCTGTAATAGCAAAATTGTGGAACTATTCTAAATTTCCTTAAAATAAAAGAATAAATAAATCTAATGTGTACATTAAATAAAATATGCAGTATGAAATTTTATGGTTTAGAAGTACATTTGCTATTATAAGAATACTGGGCTGGGGATGTAGCTCAGTGGTAGAACACCTGCTTAGCAGGTATGAGGCCTTGGGTTCAATACCCAACACCAAAAATGAAAAAAAAATTTTTTCACCATATTTGGTAAGTGAAAAAAGCCAATTACAAGAGAATATATCAGACATGTCCACGTGGACTGCTTGCCCTTGTTTTTCAAAGTTATAAGAAATAAAAAGCAAAATTTTCACACACAGGCACAATATATGTGTCCAAAGACAATTTCTCTTAACTCAGTTTGGCTCAGGAAAGCCAAATGCTGGACATACCTGAGAGAAAATTTCATACTTTTGTGAAAAAAACACACACACACAAATACAAACGATAGAATGTTTGAGCTGGCTCATATTGGCTCAAGAGAGCCAGCTATAAAAAAGGAAATTTGTAAGCCAGTTGTCAACAAGTAGCTTGACCAGACTTGGGAATAAACACACTTTGGAAACCAGTAAATACTGAATATCAGGGCTCATTTTTCCTGAGTTTACAAACATATCATCACAAAAATATTAGTAAGGATATACAACAAAAACATTAAGAATTATTCTCTTTAGGCAGTTAAATCAGAAGTTTATTTTCTTCACTGGGCATATCTGTTTTCTCCTTTTCTGTCATTTCAACAACAAATATGCTTTACTGGCATGATAAAAATCAAGCTTTCAGTTTTCAAAGACCAAAACAGCAAACGAATGGAACACCTGTTCATGCTAAGAACTGAATTAATGAAACAAGGGTTTGGAAGAGAATGAAATTCTCTTGATGCTGAGGAGGGGACTGTGTGAGACTTGAAACATTCATAGAATTGCAAACAAAATGAAACTTCACTGATCAATGAAAAGAAATGAAAGAAGGCTCCAGAATAAAACTAATGGCACAAGTGTCTCTAAAACTCAAGTGGACTTTCTCACAATGCATTAGTTTTCCTAGTTACTACACTTGCCTTAGCAGTTTTATACATAGTAGGTGTTTAATAAATAAATCTGTGAACAACTCCAAGTCCATCCACCACTACTGGTAAGCAAACTAGGAAATTATCATTATCATACTTGGAATCATGTAAAACCTATCTAATTACTTCAAATCTGTTATTTGGGGTCTATTTTATTGTAGTTTGGTTTGCAAGGCTATCTAAACAAAGCAACAAACAAAGTATTTTCATCAAAATCTTTCAAGGTGTATGCTGGCGATCTCAGGGGTAGAGTGCAAGGCCTGGGTTCCATCCCCAGCACCAAAATGAGAAGGGGAGTGGCAGGGAGAGAAGAGAAAAGGAGAGGAGAGGAAACCAAGACGAGAGGGCCCAGACCGGACCAGAAAATAAAAACTAAGAAATCATGTAGAGCAAGAAAATGTTTGTATTTACAGAAAGTAAATAGTTCAGGCTTTACAGGCCATATTCTATGTTACAATTTCTCAATACTGCCTCTATAGTGCTAAAGCAGTTATAATCTATAAATGAATGACCATTGTGCTCCAATAAAACTTCATTTATAAAAATAAGCAGTGGGGCAATTTGGTGAGGGGAACACTGTTCTCGGATGTAGATATTCAGTTTGATCCTTTTTTTCCCCTACTTTATCTTATTTCCAAGTATCACTGTCCCATTTACAAGCACAATTTTAGAAGTTTATTTCTTCATTGAAACCATGCACATTTAGTGCTGGCACAAATAACTAGTGTTATCAGGGACCCTAATAAAAATACTTTTTCCAAAGAAATACTATGATTTCCTATAAACTATGTTATCTTCATATGACACACATGCTCTAGGAGGCTACACAAAAACAAAACTGGTTAAAAAGCAAATGCTTTGAGACCTTTGCAGAGCCACTTATTTAATCTCTCAAGGCCTCAATTCCTGGACTGTAAAAATAAGATAATAACAGCTCACAGGGTTTTTACAGTGGCTAGAATTAAACACTTATGCAAAAGCACTTTGAAAACAAAGTAAATAAATGCTCTTTACACTATTTTATATTAAATTGTCTTGAAAGTTTACTATAGAAAAAAATACCAGTGTAAATAATTATGCCATTTTCTATAAAGATATTTGGAACTTTTTAGCCTGTATTTTATAAACCCATATTTTTCATGCACCATTTCCCCTTCATTATACCAGTATTAAAAATGAGGGAAATTCCTGAAACTCGTAACTCAAATTTATTTACCTTTTCTCAATTAATTTATGAAAATAAATATAATTATCTAAGAATGATAAACAGAAAAATTTTAATTTTTGATGAGAAATATTGCTCCTCTGATTTTTCAGGATGTTTATTATAACTCAAAGTAAGATTTTCCTTAAAATTGAAAAAAATAAATTCAAGGCATTGGCCAAAGTTCATAGTCAAATTCAGCCTTATGTGGAAATAACCATACAAACTAGTCACAGACTTAAATATAAAATTAAACATATATAACATATAAATGAAATAAGGAGCTCTTCAAATACCTCCCTCCCTAAAAGAAAGAAGGAGCAGAGCCACGGTACTAGTATTTAGTCCGTAATCATTAGTGCAATGTATTGCAGAGCTTTGGTATTTTTTTGGTTTTGTTTTTGAGGTACTGGAAATAGAACCCAGGCCCTCCTGCATACTAGGAAAGCACTCCACCACCAAACTTCATTGCCAGCTGAATACTGCAATTTAACTGGGCCATAATCCTGTATGAACTCAAAACAATCATCTGTATACAAAGAAAAGAAATTTGGCTGGTACTCACTCAAAATTAAATAAAGCTAAACTGTCCCAAAACTATTCAGAAACATTAGTAAATCCAATGATAATGGGTCAAACCTCATGTCTGTCCTTTAGGGAAAATAATTATGATCATTTAGTAAAGCTGATGTCTTACACTCCAGTGGAATCCGTCAGCAAAAAGAAATTCCAGTAGGATATCAAGTCTTACACAAAAAGAAATTGCTTTTCTTTCTGTCCAGAAGCTAAGAGATTTGGAAGCACATTTTGTGTACCTCAGCTCTAAGATTATGCATCCAATATCTCTTAATATAAATCAAGTGCATTAGAATGAGAGACTCTTTGGCAGTGGAAAGAGGTTGCCTGGTTCTCTCTCTCTCTCTCTCTCTCTCTCTCTCTCTCTCTCTCTCATTTTGTTTTCCCTTAAGAAAACACTGACCTGATGAGAATTTTCTAGAAATAGCCTTTTTATCATGTTGAAACTTTCTGTGTAACTGAAAAGTTAACTCTTGAAAGCACAAAGTGTTTACTTTTCTTAATTTCATAGAATATTTTACTGTTAAAAACTAAAAATAAATGAGAAAATTATATACTTATATTTTTTAGAATGATAGTCATACCTTACCATCCAGAAATTACTGCTCTTAACATCTTCTTATATTTCCTTGAGCTCAGGTTTATATTTATCATCCTGTTTTTATACATATCATGTAATTAGCTTTGTGTTGGGTTACTCAATGTTTAAAAACATTTTAAATGTCAACAATGGTAGGATTTCCTCATTTACTTGTATGGCTATTCAGATTATATTAAATTTTAAAATTTTGCCAAAATTACCAAATCCTTTAAGCTAGAACTAATAAAATATACCACACACACCCCACTGCTTTCTTTTACAGATCATAGGGAACATAAATAATCCAATTCCATTTTTCAAGAAGCCTTGGAAATGTGTTCTAGAGCCTTATTTTTTTCCATCTATAAAAAGGCTACAGGGTTGGAAGTGTAGCATATTGACCGAGTACTGGCTTAGCAGGTGTGAGGCTCTAGATTCAATCCTCAGCACCCAAATAAATAAAATAAATAAGTAAATGCTGGGGCAGGAGCATGACAAGTTGGGCCGAGCCTGGGCAACTCAGAAACTTAGTGAGATCCTATCTCAAAATAAAAAATTAAAAAAAGAGCTGAGGATGTAGTTGAGTGCAAGGCCCCTGAGTTCAATCTCCAGTACTTGAAATAAAATGAATAAAATAAAATAAAATAAAATAAAGGGCTGTGCATTTGGTAGAGTGCTCACTTAGCATTGGAGAGGCCCTGAATTTGATCCTCAGCACTGCAAAAATAAATGCGGGAACAATTACATCTACTTTATGGTGGAGAGTCAATCTAAACTGAGGCATATCAAAACATGTACAAGAAGCTCTTGAGAAATGCTAGTTCACCATGTCCCTCCATTTAAACATGAGTTTAAGAAGCAGTAAGTGCCTTCCTCAGTCAGATCCCTTGTACTTTAGTGCAGGAGCACGATCAGGATCATTGTACTTGCTTGGCTAGAGGAACTCTCTCCTCACTAAATAGGTCTAGGTCAGAGGACTTTGTAAAGTCTGTCTCTGCCCCTTCTCCTTTTTTTTTCTTCTTTTTTAAAAATTGTACCAGAGATCAAACTCAGGACCTTGCACTTGCAAGGCAGGCAGTGACACCACTGAGTGACACCACTGAGCTACATCCCCAACCCTCCTTCTTTTAAATTTCTTTTTCTGATCCCCCTCCCACACACACTTTGGTCTATCAGGAGCAACAACTTTTTTTCTCCCAGCATGTTGGTCTCTCTTTCCAGGATTCTGCAGCTTCTGGAGGCCAGGAAATTATTCACCAAGTTTGCCATAACTGTATGTTATCTACAAGTCAGTATCTTGAGTATCAGCTAAAATGGTTGTCTTTAGTATGAGGTACACAAGTTTTATAAAATCTGTTTTGGTGCTTGTTGTGTGTGTATGTGTGTGTTGGGGGTGGGGGGGGTTATTTCCTGGTAGGAAAGGTTCCTATTCTGGCAGCTGAGGTGTATCTCTAGCCTACCTCTTCAATTTTCTGTCAGTTATACCAAAACTCACTATTTTAAATTTATTTCTAATCCAGAAAGATAGTCTTTGTTTTGATTTTTCTATAGAGATGAAAGATATGATTACAAGTGTGTATGTGTGTGTTGGGGGTGGGGGGGGTTATTTCCTGGTAGGAAAGGTTCCTATTCTGGCAGCTGAGGTGTATCTCTAGCCTACCTCTTCAATTTTCTGTCAGTTATACCAAAACTCACTATTTTAAATTTATTTCTAATCCAGAAAGATAGTCTTTGTTTTGATTTTTCTATAGAGATGAAAGATATGATTACAAAACATTAAACTCTCTTCAAGGTCCTTTGCTAAAGCCAACATCTGTTTCATTACCACTTATTTCTATTTGCTTTGTGTTCATAAAAATCAATTTCCATCAATTTTTTCTTAATACACAGCAAGTTTTTGTCTCAGTGACCCACTGTTTAGCTGAGTTTATGACTGTTAGAAAGGGCTGGAAGACATTTCTACAACCTGATGTTTCCACACTCCATAATTACTGAACTACCAAAGAGAAAAGAATGATGTGGGAATTTCTAGACTTCTGTATGAGAATTAAATGAAATAAGTTAATATTTGTAAAGCGCTCTAAGCAGTGCCTGGCACCCAGTAACCTCCACGTGTCTGATAAGTCAAATGAAATGACCTGCTGTAACCACAGCTTAGAACATACTTTTCAAGGGTTGGTGACCACACATGGCAATGCTGCCAGAGCCCACCTGACCGCAGAGACAGCCATGTATTTTATGAGACTGAACAACACAATAACTGCCATCTTTGTTGGACAGATTCAGGCGAATTTTGGCAATTTCATAGGCTGGTACTAAACAGGACTGCAGGGTGCCCACCGCCTTAGTACCAATATCCCCTCCTGTTACGTTGCTGGAGGGGAGGGCAGGCCGGCCTTGGGCCCAGGCCTGGGTCCAGTCACCAGTCCCTACCGAAAGGCTGCCCCCGCGCTGGGGCAGGTGGGGAAGCCAGCGGGGGCTGAGGCCCCTAGGGCTGGCTCTGGGCTTCCACACGCACCTGAAGAGGGGCCCGAGTTGTAGCAGGTGCAACAGCAGCACAAGCGGGCGATCCCGGCTGAGGTCGCGGTGCACGAAGACGAGCGTGAGCTGCACCAGAGCACAGGGCATCAGTGAGAAAAGCAGCGTCAGCGCCTGCCACATGCGGTCCCCGCCCGATCTGTAGGTGCTGCTCAGGTAGAGCGCCCACGCCGTCTCGGCCAGGAACAGGAACACGGACGCCAGCACAGAGGCCGGGAATTTCATCTCAGCGCGTCAGCGGCGCGCACCGGGGACGGACGCGGAGGGAGCGGCGGGCGCTATGGCTGGCGGAGGCAGCTACCCGAGGGGCTCCCGGCATTCCCA